TCAGCGAGCCTGAGGGTGGCCCGTGTGAGTGTGAGCGCGCGCGCGCCCCGGCCTCTCGCAGTGCGCCTGGACTGTGCGTGCGCTTCCTCGTCTTTTTGGGGGGAAAGAAAGGGGAGGGGTGTGTGTCCGGGCCGCAGGGTCTGAGTGTCCAGTCCTAGTAGGGGAGTGTGTGTGTGTGTGTGCTTGTCCCGGCCTCCCCGGACCCCTTGCCGGGGTCCTCAGCTCTCTTTTCCCCCTCCTGCCTCCTTCCCCTGCGCAGCCTGCCTAAACCCCAACCACCTGTGCACCCGAGAAACCCAACTCCTCCCGCTTCGCGCCCCGGGGGGAGGCAGGGGCAGGGCCAAGCCGCAGAGGGGGCCGCCGCCTCCTGCCTCCTTGTCGTCTCCTCCCCCTCCCCCGTCTGACGCTGCCTCCTTGGGAAGGGTGTTTGGAGGGCAGCGGCCGCCCCAAGCCGAAGCCCCGCAGCGCTTCTTATGATCAGCTCGGTGTGTGTCTCCTCCTACCGCGGGCGCAAGTCTGGGAACAAGCCTCCGTCCAAAACATGTCTGAAGGAGGAGATGGCCAAGGGCGAGGCGTCGGAGAAGATCATCATCAACGTGGGCGGCACGCGACATGAGACCTACCGCAGCACCCTGCGCACCCTACCGGGCACCCGCCTCGCCTGGCTGGCGGATCCCGACGGCGGGGGCCGGCCCGAGTCAGATGGCGGCGGTGCGGGCAGCAGCGGCAGCAGCGGTGGCGGCGGGGGTTGTGAGTTCTTCTTTGACCGGCACCCGGGCGTCTTTGCGTACGTGCTCAACTACTACCGCACGGGCAAGCTGCACTGCCCCGCCGACGTGTGCGGGCCGCTCTTCGAGGAGGAGCTGGCTTTCTGGGGCATCGACGAGACCGACGTGGAGCCCTGCTGCTGGATGACCTACCGGCAGCACCGCGACGCCGAGGAGGCGCTGGACATCTTCGAGAGCCCGGACGGAGGCGGCGGCGGCGCGGGGCCGGGCGACGAGGCCGGCGAGGATGAGCGGGAGCTGGCCTTGCAGCGCCTGGGGCCCCACGAAGGAGGCGTGGGCCCCGGCGCCGGGGCCGGGGGATGCCGCGGCTGGCAACCCCGCATGTGGGCGCTCTTTGAGGATCCCTACTCGTCCCGGGCAGCCAGGGTGAGTGGCAGGAGCCTGGGGCTCCTCTCTGTTCTGTAAGGTGTGTGGCGGTAGTGGGTAGGGGCAGGAAGGAGCCGGGTGTAGACCGACTTACCTTTCCACTGTCTCCCTCCCAATTCCCCCTGCCTTCCATGGGCCCCCAGGAGAATCATATCCCTTCTCTTTTCTGCTCACTGCTCACTGCTCACGGGGAGATTGCATGCACTACTCAGACCTCATCCCAGCTGCCTGTTTTGCCGCATCCCCTACCAGTGAGTGCGGTGCCGTCAACTGAGCTTTTCCACCCTCTTCTTTCTGCACAGGCTGCCAGTTTTCATTCAACAGCCCCCAATCCCCCACTCATTTACAGGGCCAGAGCCCTGGAGAGCTGGAATTAGGCCTTCTGTCCTGGTCAGGCAGGGTTTGTGGGGAGAAAACTAGAGTGTGTTAAACACCTACTCTGTGGCAGGCCCTTGCGTTAGCTGCTTCCATGGGGGCTACCTCCTTTAAATCTTCCCAGCAGCTCGGCGTGCTAGAACCCAGGAGTTTTAGAGGAGATGCTGGCTTTGGCCTCTTCCACTCATAACAAGCAAGGCTGGGAGCAGATTCCAGGCCTGCTGTCTAGGTTTGGGAGAGGCCTTTTTCAGGGGGATAAGTCAAGATGCCTGCCCCATACCATGCCCCTAAGGCTTCCTGGACACCTGGGAGCCCTGGCCTCAGCTGGGGTGAAGGGAGAGTTAGACAGGAAGAGTCTGGTGTCTGGGCCCTGTCCGCTCCCACCTCCCGCGGCCAGCCACAGGCTGCCTGGTGATGAGCCCAGATTTGTTGCTGCTGCTTTTCTTCCTGCTGCAGCACAGCTTGGCTTCTCAGAAAGCCCTGGTTCGGGGTACAGCTTGAAATGGGTGTCTGAGGTGGGTGGGGGGATGGCTTAGGCTAACTTAGGCAAGACCTAGTCCTTTCCCACCAACCCCTCCCCAAGTCAGTCCAGGTTCCTGTAAACCCCATTCCACCCCTGCCCTTAGGTGGAAGCGGGTGATAGGAGAGACATGGCTTGGACAGCTAGAAAACCCCCTAAAGGATGTCTGATCTCATGGCTGGAAGCCAGAAGCCTGGCTGGGGTCCGTCTGAGAGACAGGAAGGGGCAACACAAGGGGTTGGGTCTGGGGACTGCCTCCTACCGTGGAAGCCTGTCCTGTCAACCTCCGTTGTCCCCAGTTGTCATGTTAGTGAATCTCAGAGCCCAGCCTCCCTCCTGTGATGGACCTCAACCTGATTTTGGAAAGAAAAGTTGCATTGACCCTCCCCTCCTGCGGGGGGTGGGGAAGGCAGGAAAATGGGGAATGGGGCTGCAGGGAAACCAGGTGGGCGTAACTGCTAGAGCAGGGCAGGTGGATCTTCTGCCTAGAAGAGAAGAGCAGAGGTCTCAGTGGCTGTGGCATGCCAGGCTGGGTCTGCAGGTGTCCCAGGGCAGCCACGGTAGGTAGGGACCTTCTTTAGGACTGAGAGTCATCTGCATCCCAAGACCAGCCTAGAAGGTGAGGGCACAGTCATGCCCCAGTTTGAGTCTGCTGTGCGTTCCATCGGCCTCTCATGCAGTTCCCTGACCCTGCTGGTGTCCGCTCTTGGCTGTGTGCACTAGTGGGGAGGCGAGTATAGATAATTCGGGCTCTTTCAAAGTGGGGGGTTGGGGGGAGTCAGATTTAGCTTGACAGAGAAAGGTCAAGGGGACAAGCCAGAAAGGCAGGAATTAGATAAAGTGGTCAGGGAGCCAGGCCCCATTTCTGAGCATTCTGAGGTCTCTGGGGGACATATCACCTTCTCAGTTTCTTCCCTCTTGGATTCCAAGGGGACATGCCATCACCGTGTTTCTCTTTAGCTCACTGAGAAGTGGCCCAGCCAGGGGGCTTTGCGTAAGCTCGGAGCTTGGTCAGCCCCTTGAAGTCCTCCCAGAGCCCGCGATCCTTCGCCCTTTTGGTGCGGAGTCACGTCAGCCAGGGTGCTTCAGTTGAGGTTGGAAGTTTGGGGCCAGGCAGAGTTAATCCTGACCCGTGGAGCAAGGCAGAAACCAGAGACGTTAAGTGTTTTGTCAAAGCTGGTTGTTGAGATGGCTGTGCACAGCTATATGGGGCTTTGGTGGCAGTCATGCCCAAGAGGACATGTCTTCTGCCAAGGAGCACAGGCAAAGGCAAGCCTTCAGCTGTTCCTGGGACACAGGTGGAAATACATGATTTTTAAAGATTAATTAGTAACAACGCTATTTATTGAGTACTCCATGCAGGTACTTTACACTAATCTCTAATCCTCCCAATAAATTTACAGCCGAGGTATCATCCCCAGTTAATAGATTAGGCTGTGAGAGAGAGGGTAAACAACTGAGATCACACAGTGGCGAGCTGTGAATCAAAGCCCCGACTCTCAAGCCCCCCAAGCCCCCGCTCCTCCCATGACGACACGTTCCTTCCACTAAAGGAGGCTGTTTTCTGGGTGGAGAAGTGGCTCCTTTCTCCCTGTGAGGTGTTCTGAGGGTCGGTACCTCCTGTGGACGACATCGGAAAATCCAGGGACAGATGGTGACACCAGAAGCAACACCTACTGTTGTACCCCTCCAGGCCTGAGGTTCTGAGGTGCAGGGGTTCTGGGGCTATGCCCTCATGACTGTGTCCCCTGGGTCTCTGTGCACAGCTTCCCTGGAAGGGACCTGCAATATTACCCCGGTGGGCTTTGGGCCCTCGCTTAGGGCCAGCAGGGCCAGGGACCGGCACGCTGCCCCAGGCGTCTCTTCACACACAGCATCTGGTTTGAGTAAGTGCGTTATGACAGGAACAAACCAGATACAAAACAGGAACAAAACAGAGAGTGGCCTGAGCTGATTGTGGGAGCCTGTTGCCTAGCTACCGGCCTGGCCCGCGGAGCCTTTTAGTTCAGGCCTGGGGTGATCACCCCTGCTCCCTTCGCTGTGGCCTGACCTGGGAGCAGGCACAAGGGGCAGGTTGATCCTGTCCCAGGCAGAGCGAGGGATCAGCAACAGTCAGGGTGGCTTCTCACACTGAGGGGGACAGAGGCAGTTTTGGCAGCATCCAGAGCTCTAGAATCGGGCCTTCCTCCTTTTCTGAGGGTGGACGGTAGGCTCGATAAATGGCACCCCAGGACACTCTTCTTTCTCACCCCTAGTCTGCAGCGGTCCCAGGAGCTGGGCTGGCTTTAGCTCAGTTATCAGCCCTTGTAAGGATGATAGTCCTTCTCCTTTGGCTAAGTCAGTAGTACCGGATTGAGTTTTCCCATGATGTTTCCCTTCTAAGTAGAGAATATTACACGCAGGATCCCTGCTACCCCAGGAAGGCGGCTGGAGCTGGGTTTTCACACTGATCGAGCATCTGCCGGGTGTTAGGTGTTGCTACCTCTGCTTTCTTCTGATATCTCATCTGGCCCATGGGAGGCAGGGGTTGCTAACCTCAGTTTACAGAGGAGGAAACCGAGGCCCAGCGGGGCTTGCTCAAAGTCCGACAGCTGGTGGGAGAACGAGGATCCAGGCCCAGGTCTCGCGGATCCACGTCTGTACTCGTACCTCTGCCTCAGCAGCCTGCTGTGGCTTCTGCCTAGAGAAGGCCTCTGACTTAGGGAGGCTCAGAGGGGACCCCTGTGCTTTCCTCCTGTCCGTTCCCTCTCTTCTCCCTCGAAATTAGAGCTCCTGTCCCTTGCTCCCCAGAATGGCTCACATCAGAGCTTGCTCTCTCTCTTTCTGTTGCTCACTGTGGGACTTTCATAAGAGGAAAAGAGACTGGGCCCCCACAGAGGAATAAAACCGAGGCCTTCTAGGCAGGAAATGCAGAGCTCAGTTCTCTTGCCCCTTCTGAAGGTTCCTGGCTTCTCAATCAACCAGCCTGGGACCCGCTGGTTGGTGGGCGTGATAGGCTTCAGAATGAGGGCAGGACTCACTGGTCCCATGCCCTTTGGGCTAGGGAGAGCCAGGGAGCCCAGCCCAGGTCAGGGTGCCCTACCTTCCCCAGCCCCCCATGAAGGCAATGCCAACATGCCTCAGGGAGCAAGAGAGGTGTCAGGCCAAGGGACGCAGGCCTCCCCCTAACCTGCCTACCCTGAGGCAGCTTCTGTCTCCTCCTGGTTGGTTTGTGTTTTTCTTTCTGGATCTAACAGACCAACGTTTGCCTCTCAACACCTTGTCTCTGGATGATGAGGTGTTTCCATCTGTCACCATTTGGGGTCGGATGTACAGTGGGGGAGGGGATAAAATGAAAGGGCTGTTTTGGAGAGTTGGGGGAAGAGCAGGCAGGAATAGTCAGGCAGCTGGGCCTCGGGAATGGGGAGCCCTCGGGCCCTTCGCCTCCACCATGGACAGTGTCAGCCGGGATGCCAGGCACCAGGACACTCATGCCAGCCTCGCTCTGGGGCAGCCCGCCTGCCACAACCTCTGCCCAGCTCCTTGATGGATTTTTGTTTTTAGACTGAGTGATGTTTACCTGGTCTCTGGCGGGGGTCTCCATCAGGCTGTAGGCCTGGCGCACCCCAGAGAACCACAGAGTCTGACAGCCCAGGCGCCTGGAAGTGTTCCTGGGCACACCTTTGTCACCTCTAGCTGCAGTTAATGGGACTGGCTGTTTGTCCTTACGATAGGCTCCCCAGGACCAGGAGAGGGACCAGGCAGTCACGTTGGCTCTAGTCATTCAGAAAACATTTATTGAGCGCTTAGTACATGAGAGACACCCACCACCTGGACTCTACAAATCTAAAGATGAGTTGGAGGTGCTGCCTTTTCCTGAAGAGAGCCTGGTCAGGTACAGTAGATGGCAGTCGAGGGAAATTAGGTGATAAGAAATAGTAGTGATGATACAAGATGGATCAGGAGAGGTGCCACCGTAGTCTTAAAAAATAAAGTTCAATAGGAGGTTAAGAGGGGAAGCGGTAAGTCTCACCACTATGTGGAGTGGGCGTTGGGGCCGTGTGTCAGGAAGCTTCCACGGGGAAATAGGAGGTAAGCTGGACAGGCCCTGCGGGATAATGACTGA